CTCAATGTCTATTCTGCAGAGGCAGCTGGAAACAATTTTTTTTTTTTTTTTTTTTGAGATGGAGTCTCGCTCCATCACCAAGGCTGAAGTGCAGTGACTCAATCTCGGCTCGCTGCAACCTCCACCGCTCAGGTTCAAGCAATTCTCCTGCCTTAGCCTCCCAAGTAGCTGGGATTATAGGTGTGAGCCACCATGCTGGCTAATTTTTGTATTTTTAGTAGAGATAGGGTTTCCCCATGTTGGGCAGGCTGGTCTCAAACTCCTGACCTCAAGTGATCCACCTGCCTCAGCCTCCCAAAGTGTGATTTCTCAGCCTCCCAAAGCTGGGATTACAGACGTGACCATCACACCCAGCCTGGAAACAAATTTAACCTCAGTCCTCCTGAGACTGGGCCACAATTCCCGGATACTCAACAGGGCCAGATTTGCTTAGAGAGGAGAGAGGCTGCAGGGAGTTGTATAGCACAGCCCTCAAGCAACAATGACAAGACATCCATCATCCTGTGTCAACAGCCCCTTCAGTCCTGCAGGCTGCACTGTCTGCTCTGAACCTGGGCAACACGGGAATATTTTGCAAGCTGCTGATGGTCCTGCCTGCCTGGCAGGCTCATGAGCCATTCTTCTCTGGGGACCCTGCCAAGAAGCAGGCGGCAGACCTTCCTTCCATTCTTGGCCAAGATACTGTCTCTGCTAAGGCATTCCCTTCCCTTAAGGGCTTCAGCTTTTGAAACACGTAAACCAGCTTTTCCACTCTTAGGTCCAGTCTTATGCATCCCCTGGGGCAATGAGCCTAGAACACAGAAAAATAGGAAAATGTACAAAAGAAGAAAATAGATGAACATAGAAGCATATTTTATGTTGTTAAAAGATCATGCTGATGACCAGGGAGGGAACTGTCTGGAGGAGCCAAAATGGACAAGTCCAGGAGGAGGCAGCAAGGCAGAGGAGAGAGGGGGCCCTAGAGATGGAGGGTGCTGGATGGAAATCAGAGCTTGGCCGGGCCAGGTGGCTCAGGACTGTAATCCTAGCACTTTGGGAGGCTGAGGCCGGAGGATCACTTGAGCCCAGGAGTTTGAGACCAGCCTAGGATATATGGCGAAACCCCATCTCTACCAAAAATACAAAAATTAGTCGGGCAAGGTGGCACAAGGTAGCAAGGTCCCAGCTATCGGGGAGACTGTGGTGGACGGATCACCTGCGCCCAGGAAGTTGAGGTTGCAGTGGCTAATACTGCACCACTGCACTCCAGCCTCGACAACAGAGTGAGATTCTGTCTCAAAAAATAATAATACAATAAAAATGGGCAACAGAGTGAGACCCTGTCTCAAAAAGTAATAATAAAATTAAAATTAAATT